AACCTTCACACAAAGAAACAAGCCTACGTATTAAAATGATAGCATATATTACATATAAGAGACAAATAACAAAGTGAGCTGTGTGAAGACAGCATCAGTTTCCACCATTTTGATCTACAAGTGTGCTAGCAAGTCTTGTTAGAATACCTATAAATACAACAAGTGTCAAATATAGTAAGCATCACTCACTAACAGAGATTTTTTTTTTTTTTTTTTTTATAGAAATGACAGTCATCATTTAATTTCAAAAGCTACCCAGTTTGGGTAAATGAAGACAACATCCTTTAGTTTTAAAGTGCTTCATCTCTTGACCCACTAAGACAAATGTGTTGAAGCATTACCTAATGCTTGATCATTCAGTATTGATCATACACGTACAAACACACTGCAGCAGTACAGCATTACTACCATCACTAGTGCTGCTGCTACTGCAAATAGCTGAGGAAAACAACATGGCTAGAAAACAAAGCACAAGTAATAACTAAAACCAAAGCTACTAATATAAATGTTATTTAGTAAGAGTAATAAAAACTGGACATGAACTTAGAAAGCCTTATTCTGTAGACTTTCACTACTTGGATAAATGAAAGCTTGGTACAAATTTCTAACTCAGATGAAAATGAAACTTTACTGTCAAATCCTTTTGCAAATTAGAATATTCAACAATTTGTTTTCTGGTATATGATAAATGCAATTATATTTAAAAACCAATCAATTTCTTTTATACAAACTGACTAAATTCTCCTTTCAGAATAGATATACACAAGTTATTTTTATTATTTTGTAATTTAAATATAAACTTGATAATGTTAAAAAATGATGAGCAATATGACAAAAAAATTAAGTATAAATAAAATAGAGGCAAAAATAAAATTATGACAGACTACAAAAAATCTAATTCAATCATACTGGCAGTGAATTGAAGAAGAAAACTAAAATATGAATGCCTTCAAGTAAATGGGTAGAATAACGTTTTGAAACGTAATTTCAAGAAATATTGAAAATAATCTATTATTTTTAAAGAGAAAATATATCTGATGGAAAATCAGCCAATTCTGCTTGCTTCTCTTTTTTAAGAGAGACATTCACAGAGAAAGAAATTATCTGATGCAGATAATATGATTTGCCATAAATAATGTGGAAATTTTTAGATGGTTTTGGTTAGGTTATCAGTAGATAAGCTTGTTCAAGTGAGAGTAACAAGATGAAAATATTTTTAATAAGATAAAACCTTACCATTTACAATGTCTAGTAAGGAAATAAATTTATTGTTACTCTCCTCACTTCATCAGTGAAAACCAGAAAGAGCAAAATGAAATCCTTATCTATTATTACCAGATCTATTCAAAATATAAGCAATATTCAGTTTTTTATTACAGGTTTTAAAAAAATAACTTGTTTTTTTTTTCATATTTTAAATATTAAAACATATTTCTGTATTCAAATCACTGAATAAAACTTTTTTTTTTTAATTTCTTTTAAATCAATTCAGCCCAAGCAAGGTGATAATGTCACTAAGACACAAGGAGCTACTGGGAGTGAAAGAGAATTAACAAGAATTTAGAAGGAACCAGAAACCCAATCCTAAACAGGAAACAAGGGATAAGCCTCTACTCATGTTCAATAAATCAGGAGGATTGTGAACAGGGCGATGGGTAATCCTATCTACTCCTACTGAAAAAAAAGTAGTAAGTAAAATTTCAAAGTTCAGGTGGAGACATTAGAAGTATAGAGTTGAGAAGGAACCAGAAACCAAATTTTAAATTGGAGACAAGAGATAAGCCTCTATTCCTGTTCAAAAAAACTGGGGAAGTGTGTGAAGAAGGCTATAGGCAAACCTATCTACTCCTAATAATCCTTTCTTAATTAACATTTATTATTACTGACCATGAGGGAATTGTTAGTAATATTATCTCGCAGATTAATTGCTAAGTGAAATAAGACTGATCCCCTCTTGGTGCCCCCATAATTGCGGCCTTGTGTCAGACAAAAATAAATTTTGATGCCTACCTTCTAAAAAACAGTTTCATATTTCTTGTATAAAATGCTTCCCTGATCATTACAATCTTAACCTGTTCAAGTTTAGGATTAACTGTTATCTTCTCCACATATCCCTATAAACTGTGCCTCTTACTCTGTAGCCCTCTAACTCGGATGGCTCTTGAGCCTCTTCTTTAAAAAAATAAAAATAAAAAAAATAAAAATAAAAAAATAAAAAAAGACAGTTCAAAGTCAAAGATAAAAACCAAGATTTCAACTGTTAATTGCACATTATGTTGCATCAATCTTTCCACCCACCGTACCTAAAATCAGAGTAATATTTGTACACTCTACCTAACATTGGATTTGAAAATTAATTTATGCTGTTCAAGCACCAGGACACTGGTGTAGTAGATATGGCACTTGTCTGATTATCTTCATTCAAATCAAGGTAGGATTCACTTGTTGATTTTACATATGCCTTCATGTGACAGATGAAGAAAGAAACAAAATGATACTCTGCCCATTATAGAGATACACCAGCATTTTTTTTTTTTTTTAAATGAATTATGTAATAATTTTTTTTTTCTACTACAAAATTTATATTATAATCAGCTCACAGTTTTTAATTATTAACCATAATATTTTAGTGATGATACAATTTCATTTTGGTTTTTACATGAATAGAACGCAATCACCAAGTGAATTTTAAGAGACAGATGAAATTTTTCAATATAATTTTATTTAATATTTTGACTAACACTGATTCAATTAATTTAATCATTTTCAGTTTTTTCATTAAGTTGAGATATTTAAAATAATTACAATGGTTACAATTTTTCAATAGCATACTAAAATATTTTTTCCTTTAACTACAAAACTAATATTCTAAAAATGAACTTAAAAGGCTACCAATTTGACAAAAGTTTTATAATTTCTCTATATAAGAGTAATTCGGAATATAGCAAAACTTGTCAAAGATGAATTCTATTAAATTGTTCCTTCAGTGAAATACTAAATACTCTTATCTCCAAAGGAAAGAACAATAACATTTACAGAAAAATACTTTTTTTTTTTTAAATTCCTTTCATTACTATAATCTAAAAAAAAAAAAAAAAAAAAAAAAATTAAAAAATCACACCTTACTAAAATTACCAGCCAGCAATTATTTTTTTTAGTACTAACAATAAAATCTTAATATAAAATCAAATAAAACAAAATCTACTGTCTCTTTACAGAACTGGACATTTAAATTATGGTCTGATGCCAGTTTCATTTTTTCTTTCATATACTTGCCAGCTCAAGTCAAAAACCAGAATAAATTAAAATGAGCTACTGACATTCAACAAATCTCTGCCAATCCTATATTACGAGATAAAACCATTTGAATCTTTGTCCCATAAAATTAACTGATTTGTTATATAATAAAAATTTTCAAAACTGACAATTAAATTTATATCATGCTCACCCAAGTTAAATATGCCTAATTTGTTTCATAAAAAATAAAAAGTAGTTAATTCTTTCCTGTAAATGAGTTAAGAACAAATTTCTTTCAGACTTTTCCTAAAAGAAAATAGTCACAATATTTATTTTGAATACTGACACACTCAAGACTACTGTTGATTTTGAATCCAATATCTACAAATAGAGAACATCTACAAAAAAAAAAAAAAAAACAATTAAAAATGGAGATAATTATAGCAATGAACCAATTACCAAAATCTTATTTTCTTATTCCAACAGTGACATTTCTTTCAAATTATATTTGATATTAAGTTTTTATTGTAGAACTCTTCAAATAAGAAAGAGTAGTTCTAGTCATGTGACACATATCCCTATATCAACCATGGTCAATCCATTTTTGCTAATGATACCGATATCCATAATATATATATATATATATTTAAAATTTGCAAAATGTAATAAAGGTATCTCCAACTTCAGAACTGAATTCCAATGACAAAAAAAAAAAAAAATACTTTGCTTACTCTGATTTGCATGACAGTACAGAGCTATTTAGAAAGTTTCATTAAAAGTATTAAGAACACTTGAAGTAAGTAAATTGTTTATAGATTTTCATCAAAAAAAAAAAAAAAAAAAAACAAATAAGGAGTCAACTATATTTATGTTTTTAAAAATAAATATCTCCTGAAAACTTCTTACAAATGTTCACTGTTGCTTACAGAAATAGAGGATGGGTTGCAAATTAACTAAAATAGAAATAAAGATTTTCTGTAACACTCATTCTATTGAGAATGAGTGTTATATCTTTGCTAGAGCTTAATGCAAAAATAGGAAAGTAGTAATGACGTCACTCATGACAAAGATTAAGTCAACAACTGTGGGGGAAAAAGTTACTTGAACATGTGAGCAATGAAGTTTTAGGGAAAATAGAAACAAAAAGGATACTTGTACATATCAGAAAGAGAGAGTTGAAATTTTAAGGGCACACAAGGAAAAAGGGCTTGGAAAATTTGGCACTCACAAGATATAGGAAAACAGCAAATAACCTTCTTTTATGTGCAGTGTCCCTTCAGGACATAGGTGATCATGGCTCTCCACATCTTCATGTCCTTTGTAGCTCTTAATAAGTTTTGTCTGTCATTTCTCCCAAACCCTGTTCTACCATCCATTTACTAAAGCTCATCAAGTAGGTTTTGTGCTGCTTTCCTCTTTCCCCTCAATCTAATCTGTGAGCATAAGGTTTTCCAAACCCTCCTTCCTCATTACATGCCCCAGAAATTTAAACTTCCTACCTAACCTAAATGTTTGGCAGAACAGGGATTAGGAAATATAGCAAAAAGATAAACTTTACTAAGGGCTACAAAAGACAGAAAGTTGTGGAGAGTCATGATCGACCATAGCCTGAATGGACATGGCACATAGAAAATATTTTTGAATGTAGTTTCATTTAGGGAAATACATCAAAATATTCTCGGAGTCAAAAAAGATTTTACATTTTCTACTTTACCTTATTCCTAATGAAAAGGACAGGTTGTTATTTACCAGGGTTTAATCCCATCACAATGAAACCAGTTCCAATATAATCATCAAAGTTAAGCAATTTTGAGCCTGGTCAGTAGCTAGATGGGTGACCACTTGGGAATACAAGGTGCTGTATGCTTGGATGTATGGGTAGTATAAAGGATAACAGCTCAGAATTGTTAATTGGAGAGCAGAGTTCCAGTTCTAGCTGGGTTTATTATATTTACTTACATGCAAATATCCTTGAGAAAGGTATGAACTCAACACTTCTCCCCTCAGCTATGGATTAATTAGTAAAACTAAATCATTATCTAAAAGAAAAAATTTACAATCTAAAAATATTTTCTGGCTTTTAATAACCTGCAAAGGGTTGATAAACTTTAAAACCCTCCATTATTTACAATATTCTATTCTATGGCAAAGGTTTTTGTCACAGTATCACAACAAATTGCAAATACTTCATTTGTTGTAGGACAATGATGTCAATTAGCACATGTTATATCCACCTTTATATTTTTATAGATTTCTAGATTAAAAGATAAACCTGTAGTATTCAAAAAAGATTTTTATATGAAAATCAAGCAATAATAATTTGAATGAATTATTAACAAAAAACAAAAAAACAAAACTATGAAGGAAATATAAAACAGTAAAATCATTTATTTAGCAATCAATGACAGACATTTTTCAATTTACCCTGTGACAATACAGGGTTCAACATTTAGTGTTGAATTCCAAAACCCCAGATTGCATAAAAAATAAATAAATGGTGGGGAACCTTGATTGAATTTTTCCAGATGGAGGGATGAAGAATTAGAGATTGAACAATTTAGCACAGATTTAACATTTTAGGGAAAATTTTTAAAAAGATGAAAATCTATAAATTTATATTAATACATAATATTTGAATATCTGAAATTAAATATGCTTCTGAAAAATTCTCAAATATAAAAAATGTGTATTAATCATTCAACTAATAGAGTTTTAACAAAATCCATTGAGCAATAATTAAACAAGTTCTTTTCAAAAGGTCAGAAATAATGATCTTTTTAACAGTGACTCAAAAGTTGACATCTGATTATATTAGTTGCATGCACATTTCCCAGCTCTTTCTTGAAAAATAAAGTGTGAATATATGGGTGAATTTCTTTTTTATTTTACTGGAAACTTTAGCTAATATAAAATTAGATAACTATATTTTTTTGTATTTACATTTAACAAGTATCCAAATATAATTTTACTGATAACATACAGAAAAATTAATATATCAAAACAAAATACTTACCAAGTTGCATAGAAACTGCAAACTCAAAAAAGACTACATTGGAAAACACATAACATCAATTGAACCAATAGAATGGTAATGATCCAATTTGTACAAATAAGAAAGAAAAAAGAAAAAAAGAAAAAAAAAAAAAAAAAGGTCCACAACGATAATGTCAAATCTTAAAATAGAATGCAAAATGTAACCATCTACAATTGATGCATTTGATATCACTTTCAGCCAAGCTCATTCTAGTGTAGATTCACTAGTCCATTGAGAATTTTAATCTAAATTTTATTATTGAGAAGTTTTGAATATTTCAGTGCCACTTAAAATCAGTGTAGAAAACCGATGATTTATGATAAAATATGGTTCACAATGTTTCTACTTGAAAGTAGAAATGCAAATCTACAAGACATTGTAAAGACAGTTTTAAAAAGAAAAATGAAAAAAAAAAACATTTTGGATAATAAACAAGAAAATCTAGTTTTATTTTAGTGTTATATAATTTCTCTTGAAGCATTATCTAATTAAATTGGTTTTAAAACAGTTTTCACTAAGATTGCTTAGCTGTACAATTGATTCTTTGTTCCAGTTGTAGTGTTACCATTAAAATGCATAAATTCTGTATTTTTTTTTTTAAATTATACTTCACTTGTATATTTTAATACAATCTCATTCAAGATCAATGGAGCAAAAGTTAAAATATGAAGCACTTTGCTTGTTTTTCTGTTGTAATGTGAAACTAATTCACCAAGTGAGCTTAATCCAATTTGACAATCTAATACTTCTTATGTTATTCTACATGACAAAATAAATTGTCAATGACATTCTTAGTTGTCAAAAGCAAATAATCCTGTTAGAGAAAAGAAAGCTTAATAGCTGATCAATATCTTCTAAATATTTTTTTCAATAATTATCATTAAATAAGTTTTAAGCATAGTGGACTTAATGTGTAATTGTAAGTAGGACAGAATATATTGCAAAATAATGGCAAGATAAATTTTCTTTCAATACATTAAAAAATGACTTTCAGTAAAGACATTAGAAAAGCTGTAAAATCTTTAATAAATTAAAGAATGTAAAAGCACAAGAAATAAAACCTTCAAAGTCAATAAACAATGACAACTTTGTAAGCAACATGTTTATGACTACCAATTTTTAAACAAAAGTACTAACTAATGCTTGAATCAATAATATAAAACAAATACCAATAGAAATGAACTATTAACTTTTGTGATCAAAACTAACATCAATTATGAAATGTATACAAACAGGTTAATTATATATGAACAACAATCTATATGCGTATGGACTAAGATAAATAACTAATTCAACATTTACTTTTTTTTTTCTAATAGAAAATGACATCAACTCCAAAGCAATAAGCCAGAGAAAATTAAAAGTTAAAAATACATCAGAAAATTCTCGTTATAAACCAGATGATGTCAAATAGTTAGGTCAATCATTTGTTTATAAACCCTGACTTACCAGCAAATGCTGGGGATTGATAATTAAAGAACAAATATATATTTTAATATTAATGCAAAGGCTCTCTCCTTGGACCTATGTTATTTCTCATCTTCATCAACAACCTTCCCAATGAAATCAGTTTCTAACTAGGTATTTATGTGGATTAACTGGAGGCAAAAAAAAAAAAAAATGTTTTTAAATTCTAATGCCTCCAAACAAAACTGCTTTCATTTAATCACCATAGAGAACTTCATCTTTGCCTGCAATCAGCATGGCTGATGCTAACCTTCAGGAGAGCAACTCCTTGCACCTTCTTGGGTTCACATTTTACACCAAGATGAAGTGGAGTGATTATCAATTGTTAGGTCTACTGTTAGGAGAGTTGCTTTATAAATCTACCATTCATCCATGCATTGATTATTGCTGACGTATCTGGTCAGATGCTCCTGCAATATATCTCTCAATATTCTTGACAAAATTTTAAAAAAGGCTCTATAATGTAATCAATCCTGACCTAGCATCTCAACTTCAGTCACTTTCTCACCAACACGATATGGCTTCCAACCGTTTTTTTCTACAAATATTTCTATGACAATTGTTCTTATGAGCTTTCCCCCTTGGTATCTCAACTGCATAAATTTAAGCATGCTACTAGATTGGCAATTAGGTCTCATCATTTTACTGTTCAACTAGATAGATAATAAATAAATATGGTTGTATCTATGTTCTAACAGTTTCTTTTCTCTCACTTCTCCCTTCCAATTTCTTGTTTCCCAGCCAACTACAATCTTCAAAAATTTAAATGCAATGCCAATTGGCATCTCCTGTCTTCACAAACCCCTTTTCTTTTACTGTACTTTCTCCTCACTAAAGTCTTATTCTTTTTTTTGCTTCCTGTAACATATTATGTCCTAGTGGCATTATTGCCTTGCTTTTGGTGAAATGATTAAATAAATATATATATAAGTGAACATTGAAATCAACACTCAGAGGCGACAGGCTGTTTCATGCTAGATGCATAAATATAACACCTTAAAACTATATTTCTTATATATATATATATATATATATTCACCGGATCATTCCTTAACAGCCAGGCATTAAAAAAAAAATTCTTGAAGCTATATACATAAAACGGTTGAAACCAAACCTAAACAAAATAAACTATGAAATCTCCACAAATATTCTTAAATGTCTATAATTGGTAACAGAAGCCATTGGTTTATACCAACGGCTTCCCATACTTAATACTTCTCGAATTCACTCTCGCATGGTCATGTGTGATGTCATGAGCTGCGGTGCGATTTTCGCTTCCAGCATCTTATATGCACGTGTTTATCGTTGCTTGGAAATCATCCATGTAAACAGACTATCAACACATTCTTGTCCATGTATTGCTTAATATATTGTACAGTAATTGTCATCTTTGATAATGGCTTATGTAAGCCGAATGCTTAGATTAAAATAAAAAAATATGTATGAATAGTGATTTTCTTTCTTCGTTTAATGATAATGTTATTAAGCTTATCAGACATTATGAAAAGAATTTACATAAAATAAATAGACAACACTTGTCTATATTATTTAATGAAACATGTATGAATGAAAAAATGCTGCCTATATATATATTCAACAATACTCTGCTAAAGTATTTATGACCAAGACCTTTAGAGTCTAAGAAATGGTATTAAGTGTCAAGAATCCTTCTTGAAAAAGATTATCACCATGGTGAAAAATGCTTTATTCAGATGCCATTGAGATATTTTTATGTATACAAGAGGAACTATGGATAGCCATTCCTTTATGACATAGCTGGATATAAAACAAGTGTAGCAACGAGGAATGTTTTACAACTGAAGAACTCTTTAATGTCAAACATTTTCTCATAACTAAAAAGACAGCACAGAGTTTCTGAAATCTTATTAGATTTAGCTCTTACAATGAAGCTGTGTGTCAAACTAGGCTAACCTTAGCAAATATTTATAACAGTTACTGTCTATATGATAAACATCCTAAATATGAATATGCCAAAAACAAGCAGTATTAAATGGGAAAAATCTTCTAGTTTATTTTTGAAAAAAAAAAAAAAAACTAAAGAAAAAAATTATCAACCAATAAGAAAGAAATTTCATTTAAAAGTAGAAAATATCAATAATACAATCATTTTTCATGCCTTAAAATTTTGGTCAATGTTTAAATTTAAATTGATTTAGAAAGAGATTATTTAGTTTTATATATACTTTTATATTAGCATAAAAAGATGGAGTTTTGTAAATACATAAAATTCTTGCAAATCTTTAGACATATAAAATGATAAATTTAAAAGATACCAAAGTTGTTGAACTGCAATCTAATGGATTCAGAAAGTTATAATTTTTATCATAAAAAGGAGGCTGACAG